GGCGACGGAGGAAGGGAGCCGAGCCGAGCGGAGGGAGGGAGGCAGGGAGGGAGGGAGGGAGGGGGAGGGAGGGAGGGAGGGGGGGGGAGGAATGGGGAGGGGGGGAGGGGGAGGGAGGGAGGGAGGAAGGGGGAGTGAGGGAGGAGGAGGGAGGGGGGATGAGATAGGGACTGCCTGGGAACATGGTGAGCTGATAGAATGTACAAGGTGATAATCCTCTCCGCTGCAGCAGAGATGAAGGAAACTCCTGTCCTTCGAGCCTACGCTCACCGGCACCGTCGTGCTACGTCTGTCAGCCCTTTCCTGCCCCCTCCTCCGTTCTTGGCGACAACTTCTACTGTCTTAGCGTGAACAGGAAGGAATGTGTGGGGAGACGTCTGGAGTGAAATCAAAATCAACTTCAGGATACTGAATGATGCCGATGTTCTTGTTATGATCGAGACGATTGCTGAGAGACAACGCAAGTCCCTACAAGTGCTTGTGAGACGTGGGAGGGTGTTTTAAGATGTTGAGCAAGGAGATAACATGGTGCCATTGTTGTGCACGAGGGAATTTTTAGCCGGAGAAAGCTCGTGCAATCATGTGTTGTTCTACGAGTATCGTTCGTTTTGTAAGATGTTGTCTCTGTGTTGGTGAACGGTAGTCGGGAGAGTTGGGAGGAAATTTGAGGACAGGAGGAGGTTTGAGTACAGAATAGAGAAGTCATTGAAACGGAGGAGATATTTACACATTCAACATTCCAAGAACTTACATCTTTGCGAGCTAGATAGCAAAGGTTGAATCATATGACTAGGTGTACATGTATGAACTACACTAGGTTTACATTTCACGATGGGGCCGCTCACAGCATTTCACGATGGGACCGCTCACAGCAAAGCTGCTGGAAACGTCGTTGGTGATCTTACGTTCTGTCCCTGCGACATCAATCATTCAGTATCAACAGAACGAGGCAATACAGTGAAACTTCACAAAACAACAGCACCACTCCCGACAGAAACATTTCATTCAACCATCAACCTCGCGCACTCAATCGTTTGTCTTTCCATTCTCATACTATTGGAGGCTCACTGAAACATTTCCGGGGCCCGAAATTCTTGACAGCTGTGAGGATTTATGACCGAAGTCACACAGCAGCTACCAAAAACCAAAGGCCCCGACATTTCTCGCATGGCCATGAAGGGCGCGTTCCGTTTGATGGTTCCCTCTCCTCCTTCCGACGAGTCGGAACGAAGCACGGGATGCAGAAGCGCCCGATTATACCATGCTGATCAAGTTCTCAACACGCCATCGTTCTCATTCCCCAAGGAATTCACAATATATCGACAGCACAATCCCACAACAAAGCAGGCAAAACATGGAGATAAGACAGCCACGAATATACAATTGCTGATAGCCCACTTCATCTGAGTATCTTTCCCTTGATTCACCTCTTTTCATCCCACCATATCCCTCCCTCCTCGTCCCCATCCTGCGCTGCTGACCTTTGTTCGTCTCCTTTCCCTCGCATGCTGCACGTGCTGGGTTGGTCAAGGCAGGTTTGCTGCCCACGATATCTACAGATGTTACAAATATCCTTAGGGTAGTTCTTGTTGCTGCCCTTCCATTGGCCCTATAGTTCTGGACAGAAATTTGGCACCTTTTACCAATATATAGAAAATTTTGCTGTCTTGACACATCTTTATAAATAGTCACTGGGGCGGAGGCCAAGTGTAAGATTGACTGATATTGTATTCTTGTAAACACATCGGCGGAGGTCGCATCATCACGGCCCGACGAGTACTTCTTTCAAGGGTGGGTAGTTGATGATGTAGTTTACAACAAGGGTGGGTGTATCTTCCATACGTGTTCAAAATGTTCCCAAGATAAAATATTTACTATGTATGACAATAGGAAATAGTGGTTATGTACTAAGGTAAGTGTTCATACGGAAGAAAGACAATCTATGGAGGGGGTACGGCAAGGAGTCTGATTAAATAAAAGGGTGGTACGTTCTCAACTATAGCCCATCCGATCGTAGGGGTAGTCGGACAGAGGAAAGAGGGGGTGGGGGTTCAAAACATGAAAGAGGCAACGGTGTGAGAAGTCAGGAAATCTCAACGTTTCACAAACCCACACGCAGTTAAAATGACTTTTATCATTATAGCCCGCGTGATATGACCTAAAATAATATAAACACTCACGTACCATCATTTACAATAGTTTTAGTGGTGTTATATCCAATTAAATATTTTTAATGTAATTTACAAGTATTATTGCGGTTCGTCATTGACCTTCGCTTCTCCTTCCCCACCTCAAACTACTTCCTTTCCTCACTACCCTCTCCTCCTCCTCCTCCTCTCCTCTCCTCTCCTCTTCTTCCGTCCCTCACCTCCGCACCTCCTCCCTCCTACTCAACTCCAAGAAATCTCCACATCATAGCTCTGTGCCTTACCTCTTTCTCAACTTGTTTGATTTCCTCGTGGAGGAACGGCGTGGTTCAAGGCGGAAAGGGTCGGCGCCCACATGTCATCGGTGTTTCCTTGTAGAGACATGTTTGAGGAGAAGAACGAGAAAGAGAGCACTGTTGATCGAGATGCTCTGCGATCGCCGACGAGAAACAGGGACTGCTGCAAATGGTACTCGATCCCTGGCCATGACGAGCGGTTCTTTGTGTCGGAGTCTGTGGACGAGTCGGACTTCTCTCCCGAGGGGGTGGAGAACTTCAGAGCTCTCGTCTCCATCCTCGACGACAGGTTCTTCCTTGCAGCCCTGCACAGGAAGCCCATCGATCAGGTGGGAAGCGTCAAAGAATCTCTAAATGTCCTGGAGGAGCCTGACTCTCTGCCCGCAGGACGATGTGCATTTCATGAGCCTTAACAAGAGGACGAGGTATGTTCCCTTCGCTGCAGACTTTGGGCCCCCGAACCTCGCAGCCATCATGTTATTCTGTCAGGAGGTGCAAGACTTCTTGGTCCAAGGGCCCTCGAACAAGCTCGTGTTCTACACGTCCCCCGAGCCCAAGGACCTCACTAACTCGATCTTCCTCTGCGGCGCCTTCATGGTTGTTGTCCTCCACGTCCCTCCGGCAGAAGCCATGAAGCCGTTCGCCAACATCCCGCGGGACGTCTGCCTCAACTACAGGGATGCGACTTGGGATCCCGTGAGCTTCGAGCTCCATCTGACCTCTTGCTGGTCGGGGCTGGAGCGGGCGATGCAGAAAGGCGTGTTCAACCCGTTGAGGTTCGACCCTGAAGAGTATCTGGTACTGTTCTCACACTCCTCCTTCCCTCTGGTCCTCTCCTCCCTCCTCCCTCCTCCTCCTCCTCCTCGTCTCCATCCATGGAACCACTTTGTCTTCTTCCATTTGCACTGGCTCTTGTGTCTGCTGCTCCTGCTCCTGTGGCTCCTGCTCCTGCTCCTGCTCCTGCTCCTGCTCCTGCTCCTGCTCCTGCTCCTGCTCCTACTTTGATGGTCTCTTCCCCTGCTCTATGTTCGTTTCGGCGTTGATCTCACAAGCGCACTTTAGCATTATGACGATCACGGTAACGGAAATCTCAACACGATCGTAGAGGGCAAGTTTGTAGCGTTCAAGAGCCCGCGAGAGAAGGTTTGGAGAACAGCGAGGAATTTGTTCCTGTCCGTCTGACGGCAAGGCAGAGAGCAAAGAACTCAGACGGGACCGTGTCGCACACCCCCGCTGACTACATCAACGTGTTGAAGTCCATGAATGTAGAAGACATCATCCGGTTGAACGGATACAGGTGCTGTGCTGAGTTTGAAGAGCAGAGTTGCGCCGATGGACGACTGACGTGAAGTTTGCTGCAGTTATGATCCCAAAGACTTTGTGAACGCCGGTGTGCATTGTGGGCGAAGGTTGTTGGTGCGTTCTGATTGCTGTTTGTTAGGGTTCCGACATCATGACATCAACTACAACGCCCGAGCGACACCGTCCGATGCCACGATCGACAGGTTGATACGACATGTTGCGATGAAGAAAGAGAGAGAGAATGATTTAGAATGAGAAGAAGAGGATGCAGAGAGACAGAGAGAGATGAGACGAGGGAAAGAGAGAGGAAAGATGTTTGGAGGAGAAGAGACGATGAAGATGCACGTGAGATATATGAGATGACTGTTGTGTTTTCAGGTTCCTATCCATCGCCGAGTCGTCTCAGTCGGTCACTGCTGTTCATTGCTCTGCCGGTCTTGGGCGGACTCAAACTCTTATAGGCAACTTGACATGAATAGAGAGGGGTAAGTGACTGTCTTTCAGGTCTGTTCCTTATGAAGGCATACGGTTTTACTGCTGAAGAAAGCATCGGCTGGCTTCGGATAGCAAGGTGAAGTTTCCTGTGATGAGGACGACAGGAGTTGGATACTGGGAGATGGAGAAGTTGAGGAGAGGGCAGAGTAGAGCAGAGAGCGGGACAGAGCGGAGCGGAGCAGACCAAAGCAGAGCAGAGGTGGAGAACAAGGCTGATGTCACTTGGCAGACCTGGAAGCATTATCGGGCCTCAACAACACTTCTTGAAGAGTCAGGAGAGGAGGTTGTGGGACCTGGGAAGGAAAGGTGGGAGAGAGGAGGGGTGGTGAACTAGGCATTGAGGCAGACAGCAGGGGTCATCGGGCTTGGACTAGCGTACGCCAACTGCCTGTCTCCGACTCAAAGGTTGCCGTCGTCAGCGACGCTGGTAAGAGAGGCAAGAAGTGATGACGGGGGAGAGAGATTGCTGTCAATGACAAAGAGAGTCGAACTCTTCTGTCTTGTTAGATTGAGCTTTCAATGATTGAGTTTGCTCACGGATTTCATTTTGTCACTGATTGAGTTTTCTTGCCCTCCTCTTACATTTCCTTTCATCTCAAATCGTTCTGTTCCTTCTTGATGTCAATCGCAGTTTGACGAGCTTCCTCTTGTTCGACAAGGAGGCAAAGAGTAAGTTTTCATCCTCATCCTCTCCTCGCCCTGACCGTCCTGTCTCCTTTCGATCACCAGGAGGAAATTCGAAAGATGCACGTCCTCCCCTACCGCACCGAACAACTTCAAGATCGTGATACAGCAAGAGGGACTCTCCCTCTCTCGCCTCTCCAGCCCCTCCTTCTCCTCCAGCTTCGGCTCCTCCACCCTCAGGCGGGAGCAGGCGAGGCAGTCGGAGACCCCTAGGAAGCAGGAGAATGCAAAGGAGCGCACACTGCCGAAGAAACTGGAGAGCAGTATGGAAGAGGCGAAGCTGGATGGCGTCAAGGAGGAAGTGGAGAAGAAAGAAGAAGCCAAGGAGCAGTGGCAAGACGAATTCGAGAAGCTCCTCCTCGGTCCGCTCCTCCCCTTCACGACCCCCTGCCTGACCTTCTCCGCAGGGGACGAGGCTCCTCCTCAGCAGCAGCAGCAGACCTCCTCCTCCTCCTCCTCCGGCGATTGTTCTCTTCCCCAGGAGATCTCCGCTCCGATGGAAGCAAAGGTCAGCGAGCAACCAGCACCCCTGCCGGGAGGGAGTACAGAGGAGCAAACGCAGAGCGTGCCGCAGACCCCAGGGACAGCAGGACAGGGGCAGGAGCTGCCGGACAAGGATCAGTGGCAGGAGGAGTTCGAGGCGCTGCTGCTCGGGCTTGACGGACAGAAGGAGTTCGAGCCGCTGGCACTCAACTTAGACGCGGCCGAGCCTGAGAGTTTCTTTGACCTGCAGGAGACGTTTGGGAGGAGGGAGGAGGCCTGCAAGGGAGAGGGCAAGGAGCAGGGCCATCGCCAGTGCCAGCAGGAGGAGGAGGAGGAGGGAAGGGACGAGCTGGAGATGCGAAGGTATGCGGAAGAGGTAGCTTCCCTTACTTTCCATGCTGTCTCCGGCCGATGCATCTCCCCCGAGCTCAAGCCCTCCTGCGTCATGCACAGTCCCGAGCCCTTCGACTTCAGCCTGAAGGAGAAAGAGAGGAGCTGGCAGCCCTTGACCAAGACCTCCTCTCCTCCTCCTCTCCTCCCTCCCCCCCTCACTCGCAGGCCTGCCTCCTCCTCCTCCCCTTCCGCCCGGCTGTAAGTTTCATGATCCTTCTTTCTCCTCCTGACGCCATGGCAGTGTCTCGCAGCCGACCCGGACGACCGCGTTCGACGTGAGGAGGATGAAGGAGATGGGGGTCGCAGTCAGCTCGATGACCCGGCGCTCGAGATCTCCGCAAGGAAGGTCTTCTTATCCTCCCTATGATACTCAGCCGCCATGCCGAAGGACTCAGGGCTGCTGACTTGCTGGGCGCGTATCAGGCGGGACGAGATGACGTGTAGCAGTGTAGATGAAGCCGTGTTTGAGGGAAGGGAAGGCAAGAGAGATGTCGTACCAGCTCAACTTGTGCTCGTTGTTGTTTGATTCTTTGTATATACATGACATCATATGAGAAGAACTAAGCACGGAGTCGAGCATTAGAATGAAGGCAAGAAAGAAAGGGAGAGAAAACACAAGAAGACATTGCAAGTGATGCAAAGAAAGAGAGGCCGAGGGAATGCAGGTGAGAGGGAGGAAACCAGAGCATCAGCTGCAATAGCCTTCACCATGCCTCGAGCGTTTCACGTCTTCCAAACTCCAACAAGGATTCGTCCGGTTCTGCGATGGGTTTCAAAGCGCTTTGCTTGTTCTTGTTCGATGAGTCAAGCTGTTGGTGAGATTGAACATGATGTTGATGTTGATGTTGATGTTGATGTTGATGTTGATGTTGATGTTGATGTTGATGTTGTTGTTGTGGTGGTTGATGATGATGTTGGTGAGAGCTCTCCTGCTCCTCTTGCAAAGTGCTCTGGTAGTCTCCATAGTCATGAATCAGCTTCTGAATCCTCTCCTCTCCCTGCACGTCAACCGTTGGCGTCTTCCTTCGCTCCGGAGTCTTCCTCCTCAATTCAACCTTGTCCTCCACTGCCTGTTGCCTTCCAGCAAGCGGCAAGATGATCCCGCTTCTTCTCAGCTCGACGGCACTGGCGTATGAAATACTCCCAACGACGTTCTGCAGGTTGTTCCGTCGGAAGAGTGTGTTGTGAAACCTGTGAAGTGCTTGTTAGGTTGCTGCTGCTGTTCTACTACTACGAGATATGACAATGACAAGGATGACAATGACAAAGATGATGATGATGATGATGATGATGATGATGATGATGATGATGATGATGATGACGACGATGATGATGATGACGATGATGATGATGATGATGATGATGATGATGACGATGATGATGATGATGACGACGACGATGATGATGACGATGATGATGATGATGATGACGATGATGATGACGATGATGATGATGATGATGATGATGACGATGATGATGATGATGATGATAAATGATGATTGATGGTGGTGGTGGTGATGATGATGATTGTTGATAATGATGACAAGGAGGAGCAGGTGGTGGAGGCGGAGATTGAGGAGGAGGAAGAGAGGAGGAGGAAGAGAAGGAAGAGAGGAGGAGGAAGAGAAGGAAGAGAAGAGGAGGAGGAGAAGGAAGGCATCACTTGGAAGGTTGAGGATTCTGAACCAGACGTTACCGGCGACCTACCTGCTCAAGGGTTGGAACACTTGATGTGACAAGGGCCCGAAGTCGCTCCTGACGCTAGCCTTCGCATCTTTCCATGACTTTCCGCCTGTTCCTCCTTGTCACTTGGGGAGCAAGAAGCAAGCGCTAGCTCACTCGTCATGGAGTTGACAGGTGGAAACTTCTTGCTTCCCGAGTCTCTGCTCTTTCTTCTCACTTGCTTCGGGGAGAGGATGATCTCCAGCCGCTCGGACTGCAGCTGAGATGGTTCGCTCTCGACCGTCCGCTGCTCGAAGTTGTCATCCACAGAGTCAACAGACTTGACAGAGTTGGCAGCACCACCGAAGATCTTGACCTCTCCATCGGACCACGAGGATGAAACGATCTCTTGTCAGACGCCTTGTTCTCTTTCTTCCCGACATCTAGGGGCAACTGGTTGTACTCTTGCACATCAACTGGAGCGAGTGAATCAGCACTTGCATTGTCTTGTGCTATCCTCGAATATCACCGAGTCCGACTCCTTCTCTCCATTGCAAGCTTGTCTCAACTCGCACACTCCCTGCACAGCAGAGTTACAACCCTCTTCCCTTAAGCGGCAACAAACACCTTGAGACCGCGACCTGGTCGTCACTTTGTCGCTTAGTGGGTCTCGCCTGGTAGGTCGGAGGAACGGGCTCGACATCTACACCAATATTATCTCTTGCTCTCCATCCACTACACCTGAACCTTTCTGTTCCCCGCCCTGCCCCATCCTCCTCTCAACGAGTCATCACGAGTACTTCTCAGCTTGTTGTTGGGCATGTCGTCTCTGAAGACTCTCAACGACGCGAGCTGGCTGCTGTCCTCCGGAATCTCTTGCTCGCGGAGCGAATGCATAGCACTCAACACAGGAGACACGCTGCGATCCGAGCTCCTGCCTTGTGCTATCAGCGATCTAGCTGACTCAAACAAGAACCATCGTGACAGGGAGGGCATAGGGAGGGAGGAAGAGGAAGAGGAATCGGGAGAGGAAGAAGAATAGAAAGGAAATGGAAAGGAAAAGGAAGAGGAGGAGAGAGAGACAGAGAGAGATAGAGGTAGAGACAGAGAGGGCAAGAGAGAAGGGATATGAGGACTTGATTGATCCATGAGTTTGATCATTTCTCTGATCTCACCTTGCAAGCAAGGGGCTCCTCCATCTAGCCTCCTCTTTCCTCTGCTCTCTTTTCCTCCCGTCCATCTATCCTCTGCAGATTCACCGCATTCCATCAACCGGCGTGCGTCTGGCTCGCCACCGTTGCTGTACGTCCACGTCCAAAACTTCCCAAGGCATCTGAGAATGACAGATGTTTCCGCGTCAACAGCCACTTCCCGACGTCCTGTCTATCTTGATCTGCAAGAAATCCACTGATAATCTCACTCCTTCAGCTCACTGTCTTTGTACAAATTGATCATCATACTCCTTCAGCTCACTGTCTTTGTACAGGTTGATCATCATACTCCTTCAGCTCACTGTCTTTGTACAGGTTGATCATCATACTCCTTCAGCTCACTGTCTTTGTACAGGTTGATCATCATACTCCTTCAGCTCACTGTCTTTGTACAGGTTGATCATCATACTCCTTCAGCTCACTGTCTTTGTACAGGTTGATCATCATACTCCTTCAGCTCACTGTCTTTGTACAGGTTGATCATCATACTCCTTCAGCTCACTGTCTTTGTACAGGTTGATCATCATACTCCTTCAGCTCACTGTCTTTGTACAGGTTGATCATCATACTCCTTCAGCTCACTGTCTTTGTACAGGTTGATCATCATACTCCTTCAGCTCACTGTCTTTGTACAGGTTGATCATCATACTCCTTCAGCTCACTGTCTTTGTACAGGTTGATCATCATACTCCTTCAGCTCACTGTCTTTGTACAGGTTGATCATCATACTCCTTCAGCTCACTGTCTTTGTACAGGTTGATCATCATACTCCTTCAGCTCACTGTCTTTGTACAGGTTGATCATCATACTCCTTCAGCTCACTGTCTTTGTACAGGTTGATCATCATACTCCTTCAGCTCACTGTCTTTGTACAGGTTGATCATCATACTCCTTCAGCTCACTGTCTTTGTACAGGTTGATCATCATACTCCTTCAGCTCACTGTCTTTGTACAGGTTGATCATCATACTCCTTCAGCTCACTGTCTTTGTACAGGTTGATCATCATACTCCTTCAGCTCACTGTCTTTGTACAGGTTGATCATCATACTCCTTCAGCTCACTGTCTTTGTACAGGTTGATCATCATACTCCTTCAGCTCACTGTCTTTGTACAGGTTGATCATCATACTCCTTCAGCTCACTGTCTTTGTACAGGTTGATCATCATACTCCTTCAGCTCACTGTCTTTGTACAGGTTGATCATCATACTCCTTCAGCTCACTGTCTTTGTACAGGTTGATCATCATACTCCTTCAGCTCACTGTCTTTGTACAGGTTGATCATCATACTCCTTCAGCTCACTGTCTTTGTACAGGTTGATCATCATCACCTTCATTGAGCTCATCGCCTTTCTTCACCCCAGCCGACATCCTGAAGCTCCTCCAACTGAATGCTGCGGCACCCCTTGTAGAGAGCCTACTCGGTACCGGTAGTATTCGGGTTGAAACGGTCGCTGTAACCGTTCTCAGTAATGTGCCCCGGCCCGGCCATCACTCCGAGGCCCGGGGCTCCAAATGAAAACCAACAATTAGTGATGTAACGGAAAGTCTGACCGTTGAACTGTCGTTTGCAACCGTTGAGCGTGACCGCGAAACGTGGCCGTTCACTCGGAGTGAGTCATAGGACCTCAGAAGCCCTATAGCAGGTACATCCTCATGTCCTAGCTGAAGTTAACCCGGCGGCACCCGAAAAGTGAACGCCGGTGTTGTCATAGACCCGCGCTCGGACAAAAATGGTCATTGCAGAAAAAGAGGGGTACTGTAAGGATGAGGAGGGGTCATCACAATAGTGTTCAAAGGGAAAAAGAAGGGGAGAATCGGACACCTTGTGTAGCAGGGGGTGTGAGGTAGAGAATTCCCTGTGGGGTACGGTAGGGCCGGTACATGCAGCCTGTGTAGTAAAGACTACTCGGGAAAAAAAAAAGCATCAAAATGAACCTTCTAAGTTCTAACCGTATTTCAAGCGTAGGTAGGGGTGTTTTGATCACCCGTGATTTGATACTGATTGAAATGGAAAGAGATAGGTGGGGTGATGGTCAATCAAGGCGGATGGAACAGGGGTGGGGTACGTACTCAGTTTCGAATGAGATTGTTGGCCCACCCCCACCTACAATTTATCCTCCGACATCCGACGTGGACAGTGCCGACTAGTACCCCTACCCCCACAGGTGGTTTTTGACCCCTGTTTCTACCGTCTTTGACCCGTCCATACAGAGCCCCGCGCATCCCCCTACCCAGGCTCTCACTAATATAACTTATAACCTAGAGTCCTTGAGGTACTACCCCTCCTCCTTCCATCTCCTTCCACGGGTTCGCAAGAAAGTCAAAACAATAAAACATACTGCTTCTTGTCCCCATCGTCCACGTTGTCCCCGCCTGTCGATAGTCGGTTCAGCTCTTTCCTCGCCACTCCTCCCTCCTCCCTCCTCTCCCACAGCGCTCTGTAGATCCTCTCTCCACTGTCATTGCCCCTTGCTCCTTCTTCCACCCGCTCCCCTGAACCTGCCTCGCTCCTAGCACTGACCTCATTCGTTCTCCCTCACTGGCTATCTGGCGAGTTACCCTTTCTCTACTCATCCACTCCAACTCCTGAGCAACACTCTGTCCTCATTATTCTGGGACTCCAGGCATCACCGTAGTCGGTCTTGCTGGTATCGTTCTCCACGGACTTGCGATCATGGGAGCAATTCTTTCATTAACTAAGAGCAACAAAATGGGAAGTTCAAAGCAGCCCGACTGGTTTCTCTCGCAAGGATACAAAGTCAACAGTATCAGCAAGGCGAATGTCTTGGAGCCAGGTCCGAGAAAGGACTCGCTGGTGGACAGGTCCAGGAGTCCCCTGAAGGAGCTGAATCTTAAGGGGAGCGCGAGGAGGCTGAGCGACGCTAGTCTTGTGCTCCCACGTGCCAACAGCGCGTCCAATGTCCCTTCTCAGTCCATGGCGTACATCGACGAGCTGACCGGCGCATTGCCCGGGCGATTGCGAAAGCAGAGCAGCTTTCGAGAAAAGAGGCAGAGCTTTTCTACCCCTTCCAAAGACCCGATCAAGGAGAGTTGGAAGGGGAAATGGAAGACAACATCAAGCTTGAAGGCAGCATGACCTGATCGTTTTTTCCTGTCTAGTTTATTATGATCAGATGTACACAAGTGAAGAGAGTTGTAAGTATAAAGTTATGCAAGCAAGCAACGCACGCGCACAGCGGCCAAGTTGTACTGAGTTTTGTTCGATGAAAGATGTCCACAATTCTTTATTCATCCTTGTGAAACTTGATGTTTTGGAGATCCCTTCACTCTCCAATGAGTCAGGAGAAAAGCTAACTTAGGGAGTAAGCGGCATAGAAGGAGTTCAAAGCAGAGAAATATGCATTAGGGGTTGATGTTGATAGGCTTCATTTTTGGTGAGTATTTACAGGAAATTAGGGAAACATGCAAAGAAAGCAACGTCACTGCCATACGACTTTACGTAGCCCGGAAAGTCCGTGCCAACGAAGGGTTCAGACTTGCTCAGGGGATGTAGAAAGGTTCGATCCTGAGCTTGCTCTCAGCTCTCTGAATCTCACGAGGGGAAGACTTGTTCATTTTGTTCCTCCTGAGGAAGGAAAGCGTCGTACCAGGACCCCCTTGTCGGGGCATCATTGTCAAAGATGTTACACGTTTGTTGCCCCCCGTTTGTCATGTCAGCCCCCCAGTCACCTTGGCAGTTCCCATCGCCCCCTGAGATCGATGACGCCTGCAACTCCCGAGGCAAGGGCTGCGTCGTGACAGGCTTGTACAGCTCTAGAGCATGCGGATGGCTGAGTGGGATTGGTACGGGATCTGTTGGAGCTACTAGGCCATACTGAGCAGGAGGAGCGTCTGAGAGGAAGGAGACGCCTGCTCTGCTCGCTTCTTTAACCCTCTTCTCCAAGTTGGGTTCCACCCAGCTCTGCCCCGAGCTCGCATGCGCTTGACCAGCAGGGCCAGCCATGGCGACCCTGTAGGAAGAGAGTCCCTGCAGATTCACGCTGCTCGGCCCTGTGCTGGCCTCCAGAGGCCAGCGAGGAGGCGTCACTGTCTCCTGTGCCTTAGCTGCTGCCTTGGGCGCGCCATGTTGAAGGAGGAGGTTGCTGCTGAAAGCGCCGAGGTTAGTAGCCACATGGGAAGAGCTCGAAGCAGCAGAAAAGTTCCGATATGAACCCTTGGTTGACTGCAAAGGCAGGCCCGTCCAGTCTGCAGCAGCGGCAGAAGAAATAGCGGCGTTGAAGCTTGATGGCTGGCCGGAGGACGGTGGTTTCTGTGTAGGAGTGACAAAAGCTGATCCCCTCATGGTGTTTCCTACCGGCATTGAGCTGACCTGCTGGGGTAGCTGGCCGGAGTAGCACGAAGGATACCCGGAGTGAACGCTCGGAGAGCTATTGAACGCGAGAGGATGCGACTGGTACATGAGGAGCTGATCACGACCAGACCAACCAGCAGGCGGATAGAGGAGAGGTTGAGACCGAGGATGCGCCATGAGAAGATGATGAGGGTGATGAGGAAGAGGTCGATCATACTGCACGCGCTCCTGCTGGTCCTGTGCTGATACTTGACCGCTGTAACTTGACACGTCGTGATTCGCGAGGGGCCTGTTGATGCTGATGTTGGTGTTGGTGCTGCCGACGGCACTGCCTTCGCCCGACCTCGCTCTCTTCCCTCTGCCTTGCTCAGCAGCTGTCTGGAGCTGCTTCCTCGAGGAGAGCTGGCGGCGGGCGAGCGCGCTGTCAAGGATGGCATCAGCATTGCCCTTGGGAAAGAAGAAGTCGAGGAGCTGTATGACAAGGCTACTGTTCTGATCTCCTCCCCTCTCCATGGAGCTGTGCCATCGCTTCCCGCCTGGTCGTCTCCCCTGATGCTCGATGACAGTCTTCATGACCGACACTTGAGCTGCGTGATCCATCTCCCCCAGCAAGTCCACCAGGACTGACGACTTCTCCTTCATGTTCAGCCTCGCAAAGGACTCTCCGATCCCCCTCCTCAGCTGCTCCGAACTCACCCCAGTCGTCCTTCTTGTCGTGTAGTCGTTGACTGGCCCAGCGCCAGCGCTCAGCTCTGCCTCCAGGTCCTGCCAGAACTGTGCCTGCTGCTGCTGCTCACCACCGAGCACGTGCCCGAACAAGTCAATCAGACGATCGTCTGTCAGGAACAGGTTCCGGTCCTCATCGTAGAGCGGAATCATGTCCTTTAGCCTCCCGTCCTCCCTGTACCTCAGGTTGGGACGGAACAGGGAGCCTTTGGGTCCGTCGGGCAGGTTACTGAGCACAGAGGAGGCACAGACCTCAGGTTTCCCGTCGAGGAGCAGGAGGGAGCTGGAGTCCAACACCTCCACCTTCCTCTTGCTCCCCCGCCGAGCGTCCTCCTTTGGCTGCTCCTCCTTCAACTTCACGTCTGCCAGTCTCGTACGACTGGTCCGCTGCTCCTCCCTTCTCGCCTCGCAAGACCTTGATTCCTCCAGGATCGTTCGCACAACCTTGACGTGCTCGCACGGGAGGCTGGTGTAGATCTCGCCAGCATCAGCATCCCCCTCGAGGCATCCCAGCAAGGGGTTGAGCTTGATCCTGTACTGCTGGCTGGGAGGGTGAAAAGCGCAGACGCGGCCGACGTGTCGAGCATCCGAACAATCGACAACAACCGTAGCCCCGAGGAAAGAGGAGGAGGCTCCCTGCCTTACTGCTAGAGAGCCATAGCACAGCCTCCGCTGACCAGTCCGCCTTGAGACATGTCGCATAAGGTTCGGGTTCCCAGCTACCTCCCGCCTCTCTTGCGGACTCAAAGTCACGCTCTCCCTGTCGTCCCCCCCATTCGCAGTCTCTTGCGCCTCCTCCCCCTGCCTGGTTGTCTTATCTGCCACCTCCGACGCCCTCGTCACTGGCAGTACAAGAAGAGTCCCTCGCTTCAGCTTCGAGCACGCGTGCAGCTCTGGAATCTCCACCCTGTTGAGGTAGACCAGCTCCTCCTCTGACGCGTTGAGATATCTAGCGATCGACCTGGGGGTTGAATCTTCGTTGTAGAGCGCTCTCCCATTCTGAAGCAGCAAACAACATCAGCAACTGACATGCCTGCTTGCCCTTGTTGGCACCTTGTAACATGTGACGACCCGTTGCGAAAGGATGACTGAGGCGGTCTGCATGTCGATCCACTCGGAGGCGTCCTGTGGGAGGTGGCAGAACTTCACCCGAACCCCTTTCTTGGCGAAATCCACGTCAACGACCTTGGAACAATAATCAGAGGAAAACGGGAAGCACAAACAACCTCCGCATGATGAAGGATCTCGATCGATTCAATCTTCCTCCACGTGCAGAGAACAACATCTCCCCTGCTCACAACCTTGACATCCTCCATTTCTTCCTTCCTCTCTGGGAAAAGATCGACCACAAACGACGGCAAGATCCACCAGTTCTCAACCCCCTCGTCGTCTATCACATGGTACCTTTCCCTCCCGTCATAGTCATCGATCACCCCCCAAGTGAACTTCAACTCCTTCTCCTGCAGCACTCGCACCCTCCTCCCGAGCCACTGCTGCCCGTGAACGAAAGGAGCTTGACCGTCAATGGCAGCAGGAAGGATCCGAACGGCTGAAAGGCGGAGAAACCTTAAAAGCATTTCCCTTGCCTCTGCCCTGACCTCGTTCGAAAACTCCAGCAGCTCGCACATGAATCTCAAGGAGCAAAGCAGCTGCCCGAAGAGTCGACGGGGGGTGAAGGGGGAAGAGGCCCTGGACGACTGTTTCGACAGCTTCGTCACCCGTTTAGCAAGCGAGTCCAGCCCGAGAGGCAGTTTGAACCTCTCGAAGAACTTGTCTGGCTTCATCACAATCATCTTCTTCAAGTCTGCTGGTGCTGTTGACAACAGGTTGACCTCCCTGCTCTCCGACATGCTCTGAATAATCGCCACCGCCTCCCCTATTGCATCCTCGAAGTCCGGCTGGTTCATCCCCCCCTCGTTGACGCACAGGCTGAGGTGGTGATGTGGAGGGTCGTACGATCCGTTAGGAGGCGGAGTGGGTAGAGAGCTTGCGTCGATGCTTCCTCTGACCTTCTCCTCCTCCGCCTCCTCCTCCTCCTCCTCCTCCTCCTTTCTGCGTCTCCTTGCGCAGAGCCATGGCACAGCAGTATCTACAAAGTCTTCCACCCTTCTCCTCATGTTGCTTTCCGCCGCATCCCCTCCCCTCTGTAGCTTCTCCCAACCAAACCCGCCCGGAGGAGAGTAATTGGAGTATCCGACACACTCAGGGAGCTTGGTTGCGTCTAGACTGCCAGCAAAAGAATCGTTCTCATCCTTGCCGAGTCTTGATGTTGAGATCGGGTTCAGCCACTTTCTGTCAAGATCGACGTATTCGCTCAACCTGCACACGTTGTGAGTGGGAGAGACACTGGACGAAAGGGAGAAGGAGACGAAGGGAGAGAGAGAGGGAGAGACGGAGGGAGAGAGGGAGGGAGAGAGGGAGAGGGTGGGGAGAGGGTGGGGGAGAGGGAGGGAGGGTGGGGCGGAAAGGCAGGAAGGCCAAGATATTTGAAAAAGGGATTGAAGAGACATACAAGATAGCAGCAGATGGAGAAAGTAGGGACGCGAAGAGATTGAAGGGTGACAGGGAGGAGGCTGAAGAGAATGAAAGGGAGAGAAAATTTCAAGCGAGGATCTAATATTTGGATACATGGCTCACCATGGGCAAAGGTCGTTCACTTCCTTGACTGCCGACTGGGAAATCTGATGCAGCAGCAGAGTCAACATGGTTCCATGATGAGGGGAAGCAGCAGGATCTTGGACCTTGCTTCTTCTGGACGAGGACGAGGGTTTGAGGAGGCGAGGCTTCAAGCTCGTGTCGCAGGAGGAGTTCACGATCTCCAGCAGCTTCGAGCTAGCTCTCCTATTCCTTCTTGGACGATCTTGCGACATCCTTGCAAAGATGACGCTCCGCTGTTGCCGCAGCCTCCCACCCCCCCCTCTCCTTACTAGTTCCCTCCTCTCCTTACTCGCTCCCTCTTTCCTTCCCCGTTGCAGCTATCGTTTACTGGGTACTCCTGCAATGCCTGGGCAGCTGCCAATACAAAGTTCCCTGTCACTCTCCTCCTCATCCTCATCTCCTGTGTTTCCGTCTCATTCTCCCTCGTTCCGCGATTCTCCAATCTGCTTCACTCTACTCTGCTCTGCTCTCTACTGTTCTGATCTGTTCCCTCTACTGCTCTGCTCCTCTCCCTCTACTGCTCCTCTACTGCTCCTCTCCTCTCCTCTCCTCCCCTCCCCTCCCTGCGCTCTCCTCACCCGATACGCGCCCTCCTGCCATTCCCAACCCCCAGAATTTGACAGTCTGACATATGAGGGGTAGGGGTGGTCAAATGAACACATTGAGTACCTATTGGTGGGTACTGTGAGGGAAAAACGTGGGTCTAATTTTAAATGTGAACTTGGGGGTGGGTAGGGTTGAGACTTGGTCGGGAAGGTCAGTGATTTGTAGTGGGGAGCCACAAGCATGCAGGGAGGGAGGGAGAGAGCGTGCATGGATGGGGAGGGAGAGGAGAGGGAGGAGGGAGAGAGAGGAGAGAGAGAGGAGGGGAGACAGAACAAGGAGGGCAGGGAGAAGGGAACAGGGAGAGAGAGGGGGGAGGAAGCCTGACAAAGATGGAGGGAGAGGAGAGGTGATACAGCTGGTACTCTTCAGGTTATTGCCAGGGGAGGATGGAGGGGAGGATGGAGGGAAGGAGATCAGATTAACTTGAAATCCGCCATGGATGTGTGTGAAACTATGATTCGCATGAAAGTGTAGAGATGAATAGGATGTGGATGTATCAGTGTATAGCATTCGTTCAGCACCCTGAAGCGAATGGTAGTTATGTAGCCCATGGATTGGAGCTAACTTCTGTTTGATAGCACCCACCTGCTCTCCGTGGAATACAACAGCATGTCATGTACTTGCAAGCTCTGACTTTGTCGGACTCTGACACATCCTGCAGCCTTGGTTCCTTGACACCCGATAGTTTGCCGCATTCCCTCGCACGGCTCGCCCTGGGTCTCTTTCTCCACCCCTTCCTGTCGTCCTCCCGTGCTCCCTCCTAGTCTGCCTCTATGTCTAGAAGCGCGAGCTCGGACGTCGAAGAGTCGATGTCGGGAAGGACAGGTGAGAAGCAAGGCTCTTGCTCTGGGATGAAGAAGCTGGTTTCCAGCTCACTTCCTCTCTCTAAAGGTGTGGGGGTGCATCTGACGAGGAGGTCGGACGGAAGCTTCTTCGTCCGTGACCTTGTTCCTAACGGCAGTGCTGCCATGAGCGGGCAAGTGCAGGTGAGGAGAGAAGGATGGAGGGTAGCGGTTGATTTGGAGGTGACAGATCGGGGATTTCATAATGGCGATCGACGGGGAGCCTCTTCTTGGCAGGAGCATGGAGTTTGCTGCCTCGCTGATAACAGGAGAGATTGGAACGCAGGTGAGGGAGAGGAAGAGGTGAAGGAGGAGAGAGATGGGCAGGGGCGGATGGACAGAAGGGCAGAGGAGGAGAGGAGCAGGAGAGGGGAGGACGAGGACGAGGACGAGGACGAGGACGAGGACGAGGAGGAAGAGGAAGAGGATGAGGATGAGGAGGACGAGGGAGGGCTTACTGGCTGCTATCCACGCTTGTCACCTGAGCTCACCACCAGGTCAACCTCACGCTGCTGCGTTACGATGAATGGATGCAAACCTACAACGAGGATGGAGATTTGATCGAGGAGTCGCAGACCGACCAAGCGTACCTCATCGAAGTCATCCTTGAGAGGATCCAGCTCTCGCATGTAAGTGTCCTCTCCCTCCCCTCCCTCTCTCCCTCTTGCTCTACTGCACTCCCTTTTCGTTGTCGTTTCTCTCTCCCTGCTCTCCCTCCCTCCCTCCCTCCCTCCCTCTCTCCCTCTCTCCCTCCCTCCCCTCCCTCCCTCCTCTCCCTCCCTCCTC